ACTGCCTTTGCCACCCTCCCTGCCCTCCCTCTTTTCTCCATCGCTCACTCACCAGGATGGATTGCAGCGGCAGAACCAGGACTCGGCCCGGTGAGTTGTGAGTGAGGGTGTGGGTAGGTGAGTGAGCGGTCGAGAAGGGTGGAAAAGGCGGCAGTGGCTGCAGAAGCAGGAGCCTGGCTGCTTCTTATGTGAAAAGTGAATTATCTGCGAAGTAGGGACGCTATATACAGTAGAGCCCCGGTTTTCCGACTTCCGCTTATCCGTCACTCCATATTATCCACCGCCTTTACCACCCTCCCTGCCCTCCCTCGCTCTTTCCTCCACCGCTCACTTACTGGGACGGATCGCAGCGGCAGAACCAGGACTCGGCCCGGTGAGTGAGCGAGCGATGGAAGAAAGAGCGAGGGAGGGCGCTATATACAGTAGAGCCCCGTTTATCCGACTTCCGCTTATCCGACACTCCGTATTATCCACCGCCTTTTCCACCCTCCCTCACTCTTTCCTCCATCGCTCACTCACTCACCAGATTGGATTGCAGCGGCAGAACCAGGACTCAGCCCGGTGAGTGAGGGAGCGATGGAAGAAAGAGCGAGAGAGGGCGGCAAAGATGGCCACAGCAGATAATACAGAGTGTCGGATAAGCGAAAGTCGGATAACCAGGACTCTACTGTATATAGCGTCCCTACTTCGTGGATTTTCACTTTTTGCGGATGGTCCTGGAACGTAACACTCGCAATAAGTGAGAGGACACTGTAGTCTAAAGTTTAGAGCAGAGCTTGGGTAAATAATTTTGGGAGGCCAAACCAGCCCACAGGCCTTAGTTTGGGGACCCCTGACCCATCCCCACCAAGCCAATCTTAAGAATGCACACCTGGGGCACTCTCTTTGCCGTGTGATCTTTCCCAGCACGGCATTTGGTTTTCGACAAGGCCTTTGTTGCACTAAATCGCTCAGCACGAACGCCGTTGTAGCTTCCTGGGTTTCCAATGTGGTGGCAAACGTGTTGCAACTTGCGCTCAGAACTGCTCTGGGTGGAGTAAAGGGAGGCAACTGCAGGCCTTTGTTTGGACAGGCAGGCAGGAGTGATCCCAGCATCGCGGGATTGAGAAAGGGACCCCAGAACCACATTTCCATATTGCGAAGGAGGTCCCGTTGCTGCTCCTGCTCCGCTGGGACCCGGCCTGCACATTTCAGAGTTGTAGGTACTGGGATGTGTAGTTCACCTGCAATCAATGAGCCCCCTGAACTCCATCAAAGATGGAACTGGACCACACTTTGCACAGAGGCCCCACGACCAGCAAATAATACTGGAGGTCTTTGGGGAAAATTCAGCTTGATTTGGGGGAGTTGTAGTTCACCTACATTCAGAGAGCACTGTGAACCCAAACAACAATAGATCTAGACCAAACTTGGCACACAGACCTGATATGCCAAAATTTGCTTCCTGGAGGGTTTTTTTGGGGGGGGGCTGACCTTCCTTTCTGGGAGTTTCTGGGAGTTGTAGTTCACCCACAACCATAGAAATGGTGACCTCCACCAATGATGGACCTGGACCAAACTTGGCACACAGACCTGATATTCCGAAATTTGCTTCCTGGAGGGATTTTTTTTTGGGGGGGGGGGGTGGACGGGGGTGACGGGAGTTTCTGGGAGTTGTAGTTCACCCACAACCATAGAAATGGTGACCTCCACCAATGATGGACCTGGACCAAACTTGGCACACAGAACCCCCCTGACTAACTCAACCTACTGGAGGGCTTTGAGGGGACTGACTCACCATAGTGGGAGTTGTAGTTTACCCTCCAGCCAGAGAGCACATGGAACCCCACCGATTATGCATTTAGAGCAAACTTGCCCAATATAAGACACTTTAAGTACTGATGGAGTTTCCCAGGGTTAACCTGGCATGATGGGAGTTGCAGTTCACCCACAATCTTATGCATTTTGGACAATTTTTAAAAAATGACTTTTTTACTATATTACTAGCTTGGGGACCCAAGCTACTAATATAATAAAAAAATACTACTATTCAATTAATAACAGAATAAAAATACTACTACTTCTATAATAACAATAATAATAATTAATAGAATTGAATAAAATATTCCTACTAATAATAAAGTAACAGCAAACTACTAAATTAATAATCATAGAATTGAATAAATATAAATATATTATATACTAGCTGTCCCCTGCCACGTGTTGCTGTGGCCCAGTCTGTGTATGTGTTTTGTGTGTGTATATATGTGTATATGTGTGTGTACATATTTGTGTATATGTGTGGTTTTGTGTATGCATTGTAATGTATTTTTAACTAGCCGTCCCCTGCCACGCATTGCTGTGGCCCACATGGGGGTTCTGTGTGGGTGGTTTGGCCCAATTCTATCGTTGGTGGGGTTCAAAATGCTCTTTGATTATAGGTCAACTATAAATTCCAGCAACTACAACTCCCAAATGTCAAGGTCAATTTTTCCTCAATTCCACCAGTGTTCACATTTGGGTATATTGAGTATTCGTGCCAAGTTTGGTCTAGATCCATCATTGTTTGACTCCACAATGCTCTCTGATGTAGGTGAACTACAACTCCAAAACCAAAGGACACTGCCCACCAAACCCTTCCAGTATTTTCTGTTGGTCATGGGAGAACTGTGTGCCAAGTTTGGTACAATTTCATCATTGGTGGGGTTCAGAATGCTCTGATTGTAGGTGAACTATAAATCCCAGCAACTACAACTCCCAAATGACAAAATCAATTTTTTGAGTGAAGGACATACATTGGGTTGTTAGGTGTCTTGTGTCCAAATTTGGTGTCAATTCCCCCAGTGGTTTTTGAGTTCTGTTAATCCCACAAACGAACATTACATTTTTATTAATATACACGCATTGCTGTGGCCCAGTCTGGTAATATGGAAAATAAAGTAAATAGAAAGTGCTGGTTTCTAATATATGTAATGTCTTTATGCTTATTGGTAAACAGTATTTCCTGATGTTTCTTTGACAGTGTTGACGTAGAGATTGTCTGGTTTGCCTACTCTGGAACATGCAACGTATCATTGTCCTTCTTTAGGGGTCCCTTAACATCTATGATACTATATCTCTGTGTGTGTGAATCATATCTATCTATCTATATCTATGGCTGGATGGCTCTTTGTCAGGAGGGCTTTGATTACATTTTCTTGCCCTGGTGAAGGGAGTTGGACTGGATGGCCTTGAGTATTTTGTTGGTCATGGGGGTTCTGTGTTGGAAGTTTAGCCCAATTCTGTCATTGGCGGGGTTCAGAATGCTCTTTGATTTTAGGTGAACTATAAATACCAGTGACTGCAACTCCCAAATGTCAAGGTTTTCCCCAAACTCCATCTATATTCGGGCATATTGAGTCAGTGCCAAGTTTGGTCCAGATCCATCATTGTTTGAGTCCACAGTGATCTCTGGATGTAGGTGAACTACAACTCCAAAACCAAAGGACACTGCCCACCAAACCCTTCCAGTATTTTCTGTTGGTCATGGGAGAACTGTGTGCCAAAGTTTGGTTCAATTCCATCGTTGGTGGGGTTCAGAATGCTCTTTGATTGTAGGTGAACTATAAATCCCAGCAACTACAACTCCCAAATGTCAAGATTCTATTTCCCCCAAACTCCACCAGTGTTCACATTTGGGCATATTGAGTATTTGTGTAGAGTTTGGTCCAGATCCATCATTGTTTGAGTCCACAGCTCTCTGGATGTAGGTGAACTACAACTCCAAAACCAAAGGACACTGCCCACCAAACCCTTCCAGTATTTTCTGTTGGTCGTGGGAAAACTGTGTGCCAAGTTTGGTTCAATTCCATCATTGGTGGGGTTCAGAATGCTCTTTGATTGTAGGTGAACTATAAATCCCAGCAACTACAACTCCCAAATGACAAAATCAATTTTTTTTGAGTGAAGGACATACATTGGGTTGTTAGGTGCCTTGTGTCCAAACTTGGTGTCAATTCAACCAGTGGTTTTTGAGTTCTGTTAATCCCACAAACGAACATTACATTTTTATTTATACAGACTAGCTGTACCTGCCACGCGTTACTGTAGCTAACCTTCCCTCCCTCTTTCTCTCCTTCCTTCTTTTTCTTTCCCTTCTTTCTCCCTTCTTTTCCTGTTTCTTTTCTCGCTTCCTATGCTCTTTGGTTCCACCCTTCCTTGTCTCTTTCCTTCCTTCCCTCCCTCTTTCGTTCCTTCTCTCATTCCCTCTTTCACTTTATTTCCTTCTCTACCTCTTTTTTTCCTTTCCCCCTCCTTTTCCCTCTTTCTCTCCCTCCTTCTCTCTCTCCTCCTCTCCTTCCTTCTCTACCCTTCCTTTCCTTCTTTGTTTCCTTCCCTCCTTTTCTCCTTCCTTCCTTCTCTATCTTTCTTTCCTTCTCTCCTTCCTTCCTTCTTTCCCTCTTTCTCTCTCTCCTTCTCTCCCTCCTTCCTTCTCTATCCTTTCTTTCCTTCCTTCTCTCCTTCCCTCCCTCTCCCCTTCTTTCACCCTTTTCTGTGTATGTGTTTTGTGTGTGTATATGCATATATGTGTGTATATGTGTGTGTTTGCGTATATATGTGTGTGTGGTTTTGTGCATGCATTGTAATGTATTTTTGGGGGGTTTTGGGGGACTTTTTAAGTCCCTTCCGCTGTGTTTTTCAGTGTTTTTATGAGTGAAGGACATACATTGGGTTGTTAGGTATGTTGTGTCCAAATTTGGTGTCAATTCATCCAGTGGGTTTTGAGTTACGTTAATCCCACAAACGAATATTACATTTTTATTTATATAGATATACTACTCAAGCTAGTATAAGATGTGTAAGATATCTAACTTAACCTTACCTTTCTTTGTATGTGTTAAGCTATACGATGCTTTACTCGTATCCCTTGAATTTTGTGGGACATAAATACTCTGACGGACTGAAGCTGCGCAAAGAAACAAATCAGAGAATTAATATTCAAGACTCTGGAGAAACTCCAATGTGCAAAGAACAAAAAAATAAACAGTGACAAAATGTTTTGTTTTTATTTTAAAAAAGGCTCCTCCTCCCTTTCGACGTTTCCAAAACCCAACATAATTATGCGTAAAGGACGTTTCAAAACCAAAACAGAACAAAAATATAAAGTACAGTATGAAAGAGGAAGAAACGCACTTTTCTCTCTGCCGCTCTTCCCATCAGAGGCGGCAAAGGGGGCTTTTTTATTGTTTTGGTCCATCGGGCGAATGGCAGAGACGGAAAGAAAGCACGTCCGGTTTTACAAAAAACACCCCGTATAAATAACCTGGAACTGTAACAGCACATCAAAAAATAAACCCCGCTTCCGGCAAGAGACACGGACAACGGTTCTTAACGGTTTGCGGACACGGCGCCGGATTAGAATCATGGGAATTTCTCGCTCGCTCGAAACCAGAGTGAGAAAAACCCTCTTTTCCCCGTTGCCAATCCTTCTTGGAAATGTTATATATACAAAAGACATGCTCGTTTTGGATTTCTTCCCGCTTTAAATGTTTATAAACTAGAGGGCCTACGATATGGAGTACAGCGTGATCGGCCGAGTTCTACATTCTACGGACAACGGCAGAGGTCTGCAAGACCCCCCCCCCCCAAAAAAGGTCTTTTGAACTCCCCAACGGCTTTCAATCGAGGGCAATGACTTCCTCGTCGTTGTTGTCGTTGGAGGGTCGCGCTCTCTTGCCGCCCGGGCGCTCCGCTTCCTCCAGCTTCCTCTTGCGGCCTTTGCCTTCCGACTCGTTGTCCGAAAGGCCTTCCTCCATCTCCACAATCAGCACGTCGTCCTCCTCGTCCTCGTCGTTGTCTGCGTCCCGAGCTGGAAGACAAAAGGGGGGACAGTCCAGAACTGGCATGTTTCCATAGAATCACAGTTGGAAAAGATCCCTAGAGGCCATCCAGTCCAACCCCCTCATGCCGAGCAGGAGAAGAACAATCAAAGCACCCCTGACAAATGGCCCTCCAGCCCCTGCTTCATCATCACCACCACCACCACCACCACAGTAGCAATAATAATAATACTAATAATATTAATAGAGTCATAGAATCATCCAGTCCTACCGTTTTCTGCCAGGCAGGAAAAGCACAATCAAAGCGCCCTTGACAGATGGCCCTCCAGCCCCTGCTTCACCACCACCACCACCATAGTAGCAATAATAATACTAATAATAATAATAATATTAATACAATCATAGAATCATCCAGTCCAACCCCCTTATGCCAGGCAGGTGAAGAACAATCAAAGCACCCCTGACAGATGGCCTCCAGCCCCTGCTTCACCACCACCACCACCACCACCACCACAGTAGCAATAATAATACTAATAATATTAATACAATCATAGAATCATCCAGCCCAACCGCTTTCTGCCAAACAGGAAAAGCACAATCAAAGCACCCCTGACAGATGGCCCCCCAGCCCCTGCTTCATCATCACCACCACCACTACCACCATAGTAGCAATACTACTACTACTACTACTACTAATAATAATAATAATAATTATTATTATATCATAGAATCATCCAGTCTAACCCCATTCTGCCAGGCAGGAGAAGCACATCAAAGTACCCGACAGATGGCCCTCAAGCCCCTGCTTTTTAATCACCACCACCATCATTATCATCACCACCACCATAGTAGTAGTAGTAGTAGTAGTAGTAGTAGTAGTAGTAGTAATAGTAATAATATCATAGAATCACCCAGTCTAACCTCATTCTGCCAGGCAGGAGAATCACAATCAAAGCAACCCTGACAGATGGTCCTCCAGCCCCTGCTTAATCATCATCATCATCATCACCATAGTAGCAATAATAATAATACAATCATAGAATCACCCAGTCTAAACCTATTCTGCCAGGAAGGAGAAGCACAATCAAAGCACCCCTAACAGATGGCCCTCCAGCCTGTGCTTAATCATCATCATCATCATCATCATCATAGGAGCAATAATAACAATAACAACAACAGAACCATCCAGGTCAACCTCCTTCTGCCAGGCAGAAGAATCACAACCAAAGCACCCCTGACAGATGGCCCTCCAGCCCCTGCTTAATCATAAATCATTACAGTAGTAGTATTAATACAATAATAATAATAATAATAATAATAGAATCATCTACTCCAACCCCCTTCTGCCTTCATGCGGGAAAAGCGCAACCCAAGCACGCCAGCCCCTGCTTAATCATCATTGTACTAATAGTAGTAACAGCAACAACAACAATAATAATACAACAACAATAATAGTACAATCATAGAATCATCCACTCCAACCTCCTTCTGCCAGGTAGGAAAAGCACCATCAAAGCACCTCCAACAGATGGCCCTCCAGCCCCTATGCAATCATCATCATAATAACAGTAGTAGCAACACCACATAAATACATACATACATACATACATAACAATAATAGAATCATCCACTTCATCTCCCTTCTGCCAGGCAGGAAAAGCACCATCAAAGCACCCCTGACAGATGGCCATCCAGCCCCTGCTTAATCATCATCATCATCATCATTGTAGTAGTAGTAGTAGTAGTAGTAAGAATAATAATAATAATAATGCAATCAGAGAATCATCCGCTCCAAGCTCCTTCTGCCTTCATGCAGGAAAAGGACAATCCAAGCACCCCAGCCCTGTTTAATCATCTTCATCATTGTAATAATAGTAGTAGTAACAACAACAATACAACAACAACAACACTACAATCATAAAATCATCCAGTCCAACCCCCTTCTGCCTTCATGCAGGAAAAAAACAATCCAAGCAGCAGGTTCTTGTAGGTTTTTTTTGTAGGCATCATCAGGAGAAATGCCTCTAGAACATGGCCCTATAGCCCGAAAAAACCTACAAGAACCTAGTGATTCCAGCCATGAAAGCCTTCGACAATACAAATCCAAGCAGCACTGATGGCTCTCCAGCTCGTATAATCATAATCATTATAAAGCTCTGTTTCAATACTTTAGGAGCGGATGGTGCTGCAAAGGCCTCCTTTCCTTCCCAAAGGCTGTGGGCAGCCCCAAAACACAAAACACCCCTTGACCTCGCGTTACCTGTGGATGTGGAGGGCTTGGCGCCATCTTCGCTCCCGTTGGTGATGCCCTTGGCGGGTTTCTCCGAGGGTTTGGGGCCCAGCACTTCGTCGCCCACCACTTCGAACTCCACGTCCTTCCCAAGCTCTTCACTTGGAAGGGAAAAGCAACACGGAAATGTTCACAAGGGACAGGGGACAAGGACACACAGGAATCTATTTCTGGAATGGCCTATTGCATCAATTCAGACCATATTATTATTGTTATTATTATTATGTAACACAAAATAAGACCTAACTGGACAGAAGACAATGAAAGGCTTAATAGGAGAATTATATAAAACAATGATAAAAGTCTATGAATACATAATCAGAACATTACAAAATAAATGGCAGAAGGAAGGGATACTTACAAAACAAACTATCGAGGAATTAAAGAAGGGGGTAATTAAAATAGAAAAATATCAAGAATTAGAATTAGAAAGGAAATTCATCTGGAAATGGTACAGGACACCAGCTCAATTAGCAAATATGGGAACAGGATTAAGCCCAATGTGTAGGCACTGTAAAGTAGAGAAAGGCTGGTATGCACATATGTGGTGGGGCTGTTTAAATGCAAAAACTTTTTGGAATAAGATAATTAGGAATATTGGGAAACTTGTCAAAATAAGAATGTGCGTAATACGGCTGAATGGGCACAGGATAACGCGGTTCGCCTTCCTTCCTCCTCACCAGTGAGTGAACAGTAGATGTGGCTCTTAATGAGACATGCTGCATTATCACAGGGTGTCTGCGCCCCACACCACTGGAGAAATTACACTGCTTAGCCGGTATTGCACCACCTGACATCCGCCGGGAAGTAGCAGCCAATAGTGAAAGGACCAAGGCAGAGACATCTCCAGCTCATCCCTGTTTGGGTATCAGCCAGCACGTCAACGACTTAAATCAAGACATAGTTTTCTTAGATCTACAGAGACACTCGCTGGAACACCCCAGCAAGCGAGAGTCCAAAAGTGGCAGGTCCAAACCCAGCACCTCAATCCATGGGTGATACCAGATGAGAGACTCCCCCCTGGGCACACAGAAGACTGGGCGACTTGGAAGGCGCTGAACAGACTGCGCTCTGGCACCACGAGATGCAGAGCCAATCTTAAGAAATGGGGCTACAAAGTGGAATCCATGGCATGTGTGGAGAAGAACAAACCACTGACCACCTGCTGCAATGCAACCTGAGCCCTGCCACATGCACAAGGGAGGACCTTCTTGTGGCAATCCCAGAGGCACTCCAAGTGGCCAGATACTGGTCAAAGGACATTTAACCAAATACCAAATTTGCAAAATCTGTGGGTTTTTTTTCCTTTTTCTTTTTAATCTGTGTGTTTGTTTTGCTCTGTTAGAATTGTAATACAATGGTTGCTGATGACACGATAAATAAATACCAGTGAAGGACGTTGATCAGGAGCGTGTAGTCCTGCAGGAAGTCGTCCGCCTGAAGCCGAGTGCCGTTGCGGATCCCAAACTCGGACAGCGTCTTGTGGTTGTTTGCTATGGGGAGAGAAAAGGGGAACAAACAAGAAGACTGTGCTGCTTTGAGAGAAAAGGCACTCAAGGCTTCTCCCTCCTGTCTTGGGCCGTATTGTGTCGATCGCCTTGATTGCCCCTGTTTCCCTCAAGCAGAACCCCAAGTTACGAACAAGAGAGGTTCCGTCTTTTTGTAAGCTGGAACAGGGACATTTTTGAAGTGTAACGCCAGCTCTAATGTGTATTTTGTAGCTTTGGATCGCATAGGGAAGGGTTAACACACCCCTGTAGGGTTTCCTTTGCTGTCTTTGCCCCTCTTCAAAAGATTTGCAATTATTACCGGGGGGGGGGGTTCACACACAAATATATAGACATGTCTAGATAGATATGAAAATGGATATATAGGGCTTGAAAAGATTGCCGGGGAAATGCACACACACACACACAGATGTCTTCACGCAGGGATATGACAACTTAAAGAAGGAGTCGGCTTCTTTTCTTCTGCCCTGGAGACTACAACGCAATGGAGCAATGGGTTCAAAGGACAGGAAATAAAGGAGATCCCACCTGAACATTAGAAATAATTTTTTAGAGCTATTCAGCAGTGGAACTCTCTGCCTCGGAGTCCAGTGGAGGCTCCCTCCTTGGAGACTTTTAAACAGAGACTGGATGACCGTCTGTCAGAGATGCTTTGATTGTGCTTTTCCTGCATGGCAGAAAGAGCATTTGGGGGAACCTTCTGACTCTAGCATCCTATTATTATTATTATTATTATTATTATTATTATTATTATTATTATTAAGATCTTCTTCTTCTTCTTCTTCTTCTTCTTCTTCTTATTATTATTAGGATCTTGTTATTATTATGCAGAGGTTGGATGGCCATCTGTTGGGGGTGCTTTGATTGTGTTTTTCCTGTATGGCAGAAAGAGCATTTGGGGGAACCTTCAGACTCTAGCATCCTATTATTATTATTATTATTATTATTATTATTATTATTATTAAGATCTTCTTCTTCTTCTTCTTCTTCTTATTATTATTATTATTATTATGCAGAGGTTAAATGGCCATCTGTCGGGGGTGCTTTGAATGTGCTTTTCCTGCATGGCAGAAAGAGCATTTGGGGAAACCCTCTGATTCTAGCATCCTATTATTATTATTATTATTATTATTATTATTATTATTAGGATCTTGTTGTTGTTGTTATTATTATGCAGAGGTTGGATGGCCATCTGTCGGGGGTGCTTTGACTGTGCTTTTCCTGCATGGCAGAAAGACCATTGGGGGAAACTTATGACTCTAGCATCCTATTGTTATTATTACTACTACTACTATTATTATTATTATTACTATTATTATTATCATTAGGATCTCCTTGTTGTTGTTGTTGTTGTTGGATGAGGTTGGATGGCCATCTGTCAGGGCTGCTTTTATTCCTGCCTGGTAGAAGGAAGCTGGACTGGATTGGTCTCCGAGGTTCCCTTCCAACTGATTCTAGGTTGCCTTGAGCCTTGACCCAGAGCTGTTTCCTACCTTCCGTTTCTCCTTCTTCGGATGAGATGAGAATAGTTCCTTTCCCGTCCTCGATTTGGACGTCGGGTGCCACCATGTTGAATTTCTCCTTCACAATCTGAAAGAATAGAAACAAAAACAGCCCCGAACGCTTTAGCACTTGGTGCAGAAGGAAGAGCTCAATGCGCAAAAGCATCTTCTGAATCAGGTGAGGCTCTGGCGTACCAATGGCTCCCAACAAGAACGCCTCCACTCACCTTGTCCTGCAGCGTCAAAACAGTGACCTTGTGGACGTCCAGCTTGACGGTCACCTCTGGTTTGCTTGCGCAGACGTAGCAGTTGGGGTTCGGGGGGTCCAGGGCGCATGGGACCAGCAGCTTCTTCCTGGGGTTGGGCTGCTTGTTGAGGAAGATCTGAGGAAGGAGAGGAACGCATGAGGGATGGCGCCACGACCAGGAAAACGGAAGAGGAGACGTGGGACGATGCTGCGCTTACTTACCGCTCTGCACTGGTCTATCTTCCCCGAGAGGATCTTCAAGCCTTCCAGGACAATCAGGCCGGCAATGATGGCGTTGGTGGTGGCGATGGCCGGGATGATGTTGCCAGCCATGGCTGCAAGAGACGAGCCGCCCCAGAGTTACAAACAACTCACAGTTAAGAACAGGGCTGAGACAGACAGGAAGTGAGAGGAACCTTATATATTATTAGTATTATATTATTATATTGTGTTATATTACTATAACACAATATAATATTCTATTACTTAATATTATTTAATTTATTATTACTTTATATATATATATTATAATTATATATGTTGCTATATTGTATTATATTAATATTATTATATTTATTATTATATTGTATTATATTAATATATTTATTATTATTTTATAGGTATACAGACCAGTCCCAAGTTACAAACATCCGACTGACAAACAACTCACAGTTAAGAACAGGGCTGAGACAACAGGAAGTGTGGAGAACCTTATATATTATTAGTATTATATTATTATATTGTGTTATATTACTATAGTACAATATAATATTGTATTATTTAATATTATTTAATTTATTATTAGTTTATATATATTATAATTACATATGTTGTTATATAGTATTATAGTAATATTATTATATTTATTATTATATTTATTATACTAATATTATAATATTTATTATTATTTTATATGTATACCGTAGGGCTGGGCAACCACGGAAAAATTTGTTTCTAAACTCGATTCGTTTTTTGGGGTTTTTTGCGTTTCGATATTTAAAAGAATTCCGAAATCTTTCTTTAAAAAAGTTCAATATTCACGAAATTTCGTAAAATTGCGAAACAATATGAAACGAATACGAATCGATTCATTAATGGCGGACGCGACCGCGCAATATGCTAAAAAACCTCCAAATGGGACAGGGGGAAATTCTGAAGCTTCCCTCTCCCTCTGTTGTTGACTGTTGGTGTGATATTTATATATTTTTTTCACTGATTAAACAAACAACAGCTATAAAACTTGCCCCAGACATGCGGAAATAATAACGAAACGATTTCGAAACGATTTCGAAACAAATACAAAGCAATTACGAAACGAATTGAAAAATTCATTTCGTTTTTTAGATGCTCCTGAATGGTTCAATATCGTTTCGTTATAAAAAAAAAATAATAACGAATTTTTAACGAATTACGAAACGAAACCGCCCAGCCCTAGTATACAGGTCATTCCCAAGTTTACAAACATACGACTTGTAAATAACTCACAGTTTAGAACAGGGCTGAGAGAGACAGGAAGTAAGGGGATTCTTATGTATTATTACCATTATATTATTATATTGTATTACATTAATATTATTATAGTTATTAATATTTTATATGTATACAGGCCATACCCAAGTTTACAAACATATGACTTACAAACAACTCAATTAAGAACAGGGCTTATTATATTATATCATATTATACTAATATAATATTATAAGTGAGAGGAATCTTATATATTATTAGTAGTAATATATTATTATATTGTATTATGCTAATATTATTATATTTATAATTATTTTATATGTATACAGGCCAGTCCCAAGTTACAAACATACTACTTACAAACAACTCACAGTTAAGAATAGGTCTGAGACAGACAGAAAGTGAGAGGAATATTATTACCATGATATTATTATATTTTATTATATTAACATTATTATATTTATTAATATTTTATAGGTATACAGGCCAGTCCCAAGTTACAAACATACGACTTACAAACAACTCACAGTTAAGAATAATAATAAATATCAGCCCTAGAGACAGAAAGGAAGTGAGAGGAATCTTATATATTATTAGTATTAGATTATTATATTCTATTGTACTAATATTATTATATTTTTTATTATTTTACATGTATACAGGCCATTCCCAAGTTGCAAACATCCCACTTACAAACAACTCACAGTTAAGAACAGGGCTGAGACAGACAGGAAGTGTGAGGAATCTTATATATTATTAGTATTATATTACTATATTGTGTTATGTTACTATAATACAATATAATATTGTATTATTTAATATTATTTAATTTAGTATTACTTTATATATATTATAATTATATATGTTGTGATATTGTATTATATTAATATTATTACATTTATTATTATATTGTATTATATTAATATTATATTTATTAATATTTTATACGTATACAGGGCGTCCTCAAATTTACAAACATTCGACTTACAATCAACTCAGTTAAGAATGAGGCTGAGACAACAGGAAGTGAGGGGAACCTTATATATTATTAGTATTATATTATTATATTGTATTATATTAATATTATTACATTGTATTATATTAATATTATTATATTTTATTATTATTTTATATACACAGGCCCTCCCCAAGTTACAAGCATCCTACTTACAAACGACTCACTGTAAAGAACGAGGTTGAAACAACAGGAAGTGAGGGGAATCTTATATATTATTTCCATTATATTATTATATTGTATTACATTAATAGTATTATACTTATTAATGTTTTGTATGTATACAGACCATTCCCAAGTTTACAAACATCCGACTAACAAACAACTCACAATTAAGAACAGGGCTGAGACAGACAGGAAGTAAGGGGAAACTTATATATTATTAGTATTATATTGTATTATATTGTATTATATTAATATTATTATATTTATTAATGTTTTACATGTATACAGGCCATTCCCAAGTTACAAACATACGACTTGCAAATAACTCACAGTTAAGAATGGGGCTGAGACAACAGGAAGTGAGGGGAATATAATAATAATAATAATAATATTATTATTATTATTATTATTATTATTATTATTATTATTATTATTATTATTATTATTATATATATACACAGGCTGCCCTTAAGTTACGAACATCTGACTTACTAACAGCTCTCAGTTAAGAACCGTGCTGAAACAAACAGGAAGTGAGAGCAATCTCCTCCTCGGAAGGAAGGGAAATATTTGCAAGACCTATATATCTATATTCATATCTATCTCGACATGTCTATCCTTCGTTCTTACATTTGATGTCGAAACGGCTCTTCATGTTCATACTAAAGATGTGCATCCTGAGGTTGGCAGCCGACGTCACAAAGTCCATGGCAGAGGAGTCATCCTGGGAAGAAGTTTAAAAAATCCCTTTTGAAAATTAAACAGAACACTTCCGCAGCATCGAATAACCGCACGCAAGTGAGAGAAATCTTCCCCTCGGAAGGCAGGGAAATCCACTCTTGGAAGAGTTATTATTATTGGGGGGAGGGGGGGGAGGGGTCTCTATCAAAGCTTTATCTCCACAAAAAGCCAGATTTCCCAAAATCCAATTCTCACAGGAACAGAAAGGGAGGAGAAATCTTCCGAACATTCAATGCCTATGTAAATAATGCAGAGCTAGATTTAGATCTATAATTATTTATACTAATTTAGCATATGCATTTCCCACTGAAATGTTTGCAAATCCCCTCTCTCTATATATGTGCATTTCCCTCCTGCAATATTTGCAAGCCCTATATATCTATGTTTATATCTATCTAGACATCTCTCTCTCTATGTGTGTGTGTGCATTTCCCATGCAATATTTGCAAGACCTATATATCTATGTTTATATCTATCTAGACATCTCTCTCTCTATGTGTGTGTGTGCATTTCCCATGCAATATTTGCAAGACCTATATATCTATGTTTATATCTATCTAGACATCTCTCTCTCTATGTGTGTGTGTGCATTTCCCATGCAATATTTGCAAGACCTATATATCTATGTTTATATCTATCTAGACATCTCTCTCTCTATGTGTGTGTGTGCATTTCCCATGCAATATTTGCAAGACCTATATATCTATGTTTATATCTATCTAGACATCTCTCTATGTGTGTGTGTGTGCATTTTCCTCCTGCAATATTTGCAAGCCCTATATATCTATGTTTATATCTATCTAGACATCTCTCTCTCTATGTGTGTGTGTGCATTTGCAATATTTGCAAGCCCTATATATCTATGTTTATATCTATCTAGACATCTCTCTCTCTATGTGTGTGTGTGCATTTCCCATGCAATATTTGCAAGACCTATATATCTATGTTTATATCTATCTAGACATCTCTCTATGTGTGTGTGTGTGCATTTTCCTCCTGCAATATTTGCAAGCCCTATATATCTATGTTTATATCTATGTAGACATCTCTCTCTATATATGTGTGTGTGCATTTCCCTCCTGCAATATTTGCAAGACCTATATATCTATGTTTATATCTATCTAGACATCTCTCTCTCTATGTGTGTGTGTGTGCATTTCCCTCCTGCAATATTTGCAAGCCCTATATATCTATGTTTATATCTATCTAGACATCTCTCTCTCTATGTGTGTGTGTGTGCATTTCCCTCCTGCAATATTTGCAAGACCTATATATCTATGTTTATATCTAGACATCTCTCTCTCTATGTGTGTGTGTGTATATTTCCCATGCAATATTTGCAAGCCCTATATATCTATGTTTATATCTATCTAGACATCTCTCTCTATATATGTGTATGTGCATTTCCCATGCAATATTTGCAAGACCTATATATCTATGTTTATATCTATCTAGACATCTCTCTCTCTCTATGTGTGTGTGTGTGTGCATTTTCCTCCTGCAATATTTGCAAGCCCTATATATCTATGTTTATATCTATCTAGACATGTCTCCCTATATATGTGTGTGCGCATTTCCCATGCAATATTTGCAAGCTCTATATATCTATGTTTATATCTATCTAGACATCTCTCTCTCTATGTGTGTGTGTGCATTTCCCATGCAATATTTGCAAGACCTATATATCTATGTTTATATCTATCTAGACATCTCTCTCTCTATGTGTGTGTGTGCATTTCCCATGCAATATTTGCAAGACCTATATATCTATGTTTATATCTATCTAGACATCTCTCTCTCTATGTGTGTGTGTGCATTTCCCATGCAATATTTGCAAGACCTATATATCTATGTTTATATCTATCTAGACATCTCTCTCTCTATGTGTGTGTGTGCATTTCCCATGCAATATTTGCAAGACCTATATATCTATGTTTATATCTATCTAGACATGTCTCCCTATATATGTGTGTGCGCATTTCCCATGCAATATTTGCAAGCTCTATATATCTATGTTTATATCTATCTAGACATCTCTCTCTCTATGTGTGTGTGTGCATTTCCCATGCAATATTTGCAAGACCTATATATCTATGTTTATATCTATCTAGACATCTCTCTCTCTATGTGTGTGTGTGCATTTCCCATGCAATATTTGCAAGACCTATATATCTATGTTTATATCTATCTAGACATCTCTCTATGTGTGTGTGTGTGCATTTTCCTCCTGCAATATTTGCAAGCCCTATATATCTATGTTTATATCTATCTAGACATCTCTCTCTCTATATATGTGTGTGTGCATTTCCCCTGCAATATTTGCAAGCCCTATATATCTATGTTCATATCTATCTAGACATCTCTCTATGTGTGTGTGTGCATTTCCCATGCAATATTTGCAAGCCCTATATATCTATGTTTATATCTATCTAGACATCTCTCTCTCTATGTGTGTGTGTGCATTTCCCATGCAATATTTGCAAGACCTATATATCTATGTTTATATCTATCTAGACATCTCTCTCTCTATGTGTGTGTGTGCATTTCCCTCCTGCAATATTTGCAAGACCTATATATCTATGTTTATATCTAGACATCTCTCTCTCTATGTGTGTGTGTGTATATTTCCCATGCAATATTTGCAAGCCCTATATATCTATGTTTATATCTATCTAGACATCTCTCTCTATATATGTGTATGTGCATTTCCCATGCAATATTTGCAAGACCTATATATCTATGTTTATATCTATCTAGACATCTCTCTCTCTATGTGTGTGTGTGCATTTCCCATGCAATATTTGCAAGACCTATATATCTATGTTTATATCTATCTAGACATCTCTCTCTCTCTATGTGTGTGTGTGTGTGCATTTTCCTCCTGCAATATTTGCAAGCCCTATATATCTATGTTTATATCTATCTAGACATCTCTCTATGTGTGTGTGCATTTCCCATGCAATATTTGCAAGCCCTATATATCTATGTTTATATCTATCTAGACATCTCTCTATGTGTGTGTGTGCATTTCCCATGCAATATTTGCAAGCCCTATATATCTATGTTTATATCTATCTAGACATCTCTCTCTCTATGTGTGTGTGTGCATTTCCCATGCAATATTTGCAAGACCTATATATCTATGTTTATATCTATCTAGACATCTCTCTATGTGTGTGTGTGCATTTCCCATGCAATATTTGCAAGCCCTATATATCTATGTTTATATCTATCTAGACATCTCTCTATGTGTGTGTGTGCATTTCCCATGCAATATTTGCAAGCTCTATATATCTATGTTTATATCTATCTAGACATGTCTATATATATTTGTGTGAGCATTTCCCTCCTGCAATATTTGCAAGCCCTATATACCTACAGTCATATAGATCTATCTAGACATCTCTCTCTATATAGATAATTATACCTATATAGAATTTGCAAAGACTTGCAAACATGGGAGGGGAAAATTCGTACATAAATTTGTATATCTATATACACATATACATACACACACGGATATATAGGTACCTCTATATATATTTGTGAATATCTATATAGGATTTGCAGAGACTTGCAAACATGTGAGGGGAAAATTCATACACACATACACATACATATATACATACACATAGATATACAGATATATACCTCTATATATTTATTGATATCTATATCTATATAGAATTTGCAGAGACTTGCAACATGTGAGGGGAAAATTCATATTATACACACACATATACAGATATATAGGTACCTCTATATATTTATCAATATCTTTATCTATATAGGGTTTGCAGAGACTTGCAAGCATGTGAGGGGAAAATTCATATATATATATATATAGAGAGAGAGAGAGAGAGAGAGAGAGACACACACACACACAAATATACAGATATATAGGTACCTTTATATATTTATCGATATCTATCTATCTATATAGGATTTGTAGACTTGCAAACATGTAAGAGGAAAACTAATATGCAAGAATAATGTATGCATAGAGATACAGATATACAGGTACATGGAAATCTCTAGATACTTCTATGTATATAGGATTTGCAAAGACCTGCAAACATATGAGGGGAAACTTAATATACAGATATATCGGTACATAAGGATTGCAAAGGCTTGAAGGGGGGATGCCTATATATCTGTAGGAGGGATTATCAGGGGGAAATGCTTCTATAAGAGTAATGGATATTCCTGGCTTGCAAGGGCTTCTCTCCCTCTCGAGTGAGGGGGGATTTGGAAAAGAAAACACACTGTTAAGGGGGGGGGAAGAGGAGAGAGGCATATATCATAGACTAGCTGTGCCCGCCATGCATTGCTGTGGTCAACCTTCCTCTTTCTCTCCTTCTTTTTTTCTTTCCTTCTCTCCTTCCTTCCTTCTCTTCCTCTTCTCTTCCTTCCCGTTTTCTTTCCCTCCCTCTTTCTTCCTTCTCTACCTATTATTGGACTGCAACTCCCAGCAGTCCTCCTGATCAATCTACCTACCTATCAATCTCTATCTAATCTCTCTATCTTGAGAGTTTCTGGGAGTTGCAGTCCAGGAATAGGAAATTGGAAATATGTACGGATTGGGATGCTCTCAAAGAGATCCAAGGAGAAGAAAGCTTGCAGCTTGGAAGCAGAGCACTTGTATCATCCTCCTTTCCTAAAGGGCCTGGTCTAGGGGATGCTGGGAGCTGTAGTCCGAAAGAAAGTGTGGATATGCTAATGTGTGTTTTGTTTGCCGGAGGAGTCGTTTTTAAACATGCACTGCAGCATCTTTTTGCTTTTTCGACTTTTGAAGTCCCTACCGCCATGTTTTCAGTGTTTTTATGAGTGATGGTCACTTGTTGGCCTGATAGGTGTATTTTGTCCAAATTTGGTGTCAATGCGTCCAGTGGTTTTTGCCAATCCCACAAACAACATTACATTTATATTTATAGAGATTGCAAGAAATGGCCTCCCGGCTCCGCTGCCCAGCTCGACTCCATTCTAAGCCAAGGGCCGCTTTTGCAGACCAAATGAAGGACTGAAAAACTCCTACGGCACGTTGTTTTTCAACTTTGGGAAACCCTGTGAATATCAATATAGGAATGGCAACCGAGTTCAAGAGCTTCTCCCCTTTTCAAAAGATCCGAGTTCAGCCAAAATGGATCAAGACAAGGAAGATGCTCCAGACACGACCCACTGGACATAATGCGCACAACGCGCACTCACCTTGTCCCAAACGAGTTCGGCCCCGTCGCCTTTCCCCGCCAGCTGAGCCCTCAGGGTCTCGATGCTTTTGGAGAAGAGTCGCGCGTAGCTCTTGACGTCCAGCACTTGCTGGTCTTTCAGGCCCAAGGGAGAGTCGTTCTGCGCCTCCGACACACTGTTCTCTTCAAAGGAAGGAGAGACGGAGAAACACGTTCTTTGAAACCGTCGACACTACAGCTTCTATAAACATACCACCGAAAACCAGGAACGCACCCCACACGCTCACCTTGGTTTTGAATCTCGTTCCAGTCCAAAGGCACCGGGGCTTTCCTTTTCCTCCAGAGCTTATCCATCGTGAGCAGGTATCGGATGTCGTCTTTGAAAAGCTGGGGAACCAGAGGTGGAAAGAAACAACAGCGCAATTTGCAATTATTATTATTACTAGCGTTGCCCGGGTTATTTGAAAAAGTCAACTTGTTAATTGTACAAAAAGCATAAGGTTGTGAACTACAACTCCCACCATGCCAGATTCACCCTGAAAAACTCCCATCAGTACTTAAAGTTTCTTATGTTGGGCAAGTTTGCTCTAGATGTGTCATCGGTGCGACCTCTGGGTGCAGGGTAAACTACAAATCCCATTATGGTGAGTCAATCCTCTCAAACCCATCAAGAAGGTTGAGTTAGTAATGGGGGTTCTGTGTGCCAAGTTTGGTTCAGGTCCATCGTCGGTGGAGGTCATCATTCATCTGGTTGTGGGTGAACTACAACTCCCAGAAAGGAAGGTCAGTTTTCCCCAAAGACCTCCAGGAAATAAATTTTGGCATATCAGGTCTATATGCCAAGTTTGGTCCAGACCCATCAGTGTTTGGGTTCACAGTGCCCTCTGGATGTAGGTGAACTACAACTCCCTCAAATCAAAGTGAATTTTCCCCAAAGACCTCCAGTGTTTTTTGTTGGTCATGGGGACTATATGTGCCCCCAAAACCCACCAGTATTTAAATGGGGGTATATTGGATGTGCATGCCAAGTTTGATCCAGATCCATCCTTGTTTGGGTTCACAGCGTGCTCTGGATGTAGGTGAACTACAACTCCCCCAAATCAAGGTGAATTTCCCGCATGGAGCTCCAGTATTTTTTTGCTGGTCATTGGGGGCTCTGTGTGCCAAGTTTAGGCTAATTCCATCTTTGGTGGATTTCAGAGTGCTCCTTGATTGCAGGTGAACTATACATCCCAGTACCTACAACTCCCAAATGTCCAGGCCAATTCCCCTCAAAACCCACCCTTATTCACATGTGGTCATATTGGGTGTCCATGCCAGGTTTGGTCCAGATCCATCAGTGTTTGGGTTCATAGTGTGCTCTGGATGTTGGTGAACTACAACTCCCTCAAATCAAAGTGAATTTTCCCCAAAAACCTCCAGTATTTTTTGTTGGTCATGGGGACTATGTGTGCCAAGTTTGGTCCAATTCCATCTTTGGTGGAGTTCAGCGTGCTCCTTGATTGCAGGTGAACTATACATCCCAGTCCCTACAATTCCAAAACGTCTAGGCCAATTTCCTTGGAAACCCATCAGTATTCAAATGCGAGCATATTGGGTATGCATGCCGAGTTTGGTCCAGATCCATCCTTGTTTGGGTTCATTGTGCGCTCTGGATGTAGGTGAACTACAACTCCCCCAAATCAAAGTGAATTTTCCCCAAAGACCTCCAATATTTTTTTTTTTTTGCTGGTCATTGGGGGCTTTGTGTGCCAAGTTTAGTCTAATTCCATCTTTGTTTGGGTTCATAGTGCACTCTGGATGTAGGTGAACTACAACTCCTCTAAATCTCTCCAAAGGAACTGGGGAAAGGTATGAGAGGAGGGAAGGCAGGATGAGGTTGGTTTCTACTTGCTCTTTCCCACCGGCACAGACTCCTCCAAGGGTTTCCACAGCTGATGGCCCATACCTTAGTGAAGAGCTTGATGGCGTCGTATCCTGTCGATTTAGCCCACTCCTTGGTGGAAACGCGTTTAATATCGCCATCTTCGCTGGTTGCTCTGGCTCTGGCCTCCGCTTCCGCAGGCTCCCCTGGCAAGGAGAAGGAGAAGAGAGAGAAGGAGGGAAAAAGAGAAGAGAGAGGGAGAGGAGGAGGGAGAAGGAGGAGAAGAGAGGAAAAGGAAGAGAGAGAAGAAGGAAAAGAAAGAAAAGAGGAGGAAGAGAGAAAGAAAGATGATGAGGAAAGAGGGAGAAGAAAAAAGGAGAGATGGAGAAAGAAGAAGAGAAGAAAAAGAAGAGAAAAGATGAAAAGGAGGAAGAAAAGAAGAGGAGAGGAGAAGAAGAGGGAGAAGGTGATGAAGAGAGGAAGAAGAAGAGGAAGAAGGAGAGGGGGAGAGAGAAGAAGAGGGGAGGAAGAAGAGAAAAAATGAAGAGGAGGGAGGTGGAGAAGAAGGAAATAGGAGAAGGAGACAAGGAGGGAAGAAGAAGAGACGGAGGAGAGAGAAGAAGGCGACAGGAAGAAGAGAAAAAGATGAAGAGGAGAAGGGAGAAGGAGAAGAAGAGGAGGAGAGGAGGAGAAGAGAGAAGATGAGGAAGGACAGAGAAGGAGATGAAGAGAGGAGGAAGAAGAGGAGGAGGAGGAGAGGAAGAAGAAGAGACGGAGGAGAGGGAAGAAGGTGACAGGAAGAAGAAGAGAAAAAGATGAAGAGAAGGGAGGAGAGGAAGAGGAGGAGAGGAGAAGAAGAGGGAGAAGGAGACAAGGAAGGAAGGAGAAGGAGATGAAGAGAGGAAGAAGAAGAGAAGAGGAGGAGGAGATGAGGAAGAAAAGAGGGAGGAGAGAGAAGACAGGAAGAAGAGGAGAAAAAAACGAAGAGGAAAAGGGAGAAGGAGAACAAGAGAAGGAGAGGAGAAGAAGAAGGAGACGAGGAAGGAAGGAGGAGATGAAGAGAGGACGAAAAAGAGAAGAGGAGGAGAAGAGGAAGAAGAAAAGAGGGAGTAGAGAGAAGAAGACAGGAAGAAGAGGAGAAATAGACAAAGAGGAGAGAGAAGGAGAAGAAGAGAGAAGGAGAAGAGGAAGGATGGAGATGAAAAGAGGAAGAAGAGAAGAAGAGGAGGAGAAAGAAAGAGAAGAGGAAAGGAGAGAAAGAAGAGGAGGAGAAGAAGAAGAGAAAAAGATGAAGAGGAGAAGGGAGAAGGAGAAGAAGAAGAGGAGAGGAGAAGAGGGAGAAAGAAACGAGGAAGGACAGAGAAGGAGATGAAGAGAGGAGGAAGAAGAGAAGAGGAGGAGAAGAGGAAGAAGAAAAGAGGGAGGAGAGAGAAGGAGGTGACAGGAAGAAGAAGAGAAGGAAGACAATTTTGTTACGAAGATCACATATCTGACCTAGGAACTACTCTTATTCAGAGGGTTCATGGCCCTGCTTCAACTGAAAGGTTTACGAGATCATGAAAATAATAATAATAATAATACTTTATTTATATACCGCTCTATCTTCCCAAGAGGAACCAGGACTGTTTCCAAGTAGCAGCATCAATACATACAGAATAAACAACATAAACATAGAAATGCTAGCTGCAAGCAGCCATGACTATATTTCAGCTACCGGAATAAGCAAATTAATCCCTGTGATGAATAATGATCACTTAGGGCCCTTCCAGGCAGGCCTTATATCCTGGTATCTGATCCCAGATTTTCTGCTTTAAACTGGATTATATGAGTCCGCACTGCCAGATAATCTGGGACAAAGAGAAAACCTGGGGTCAGCTCCTGGGATATAGGGCCTGTACAGAAGTGTTTATAATAATATGCTTATAACTGTATTTATGTTTGCATTGGTTGCCTTAGGCTGGAGCGGCCTAGCTGTTAGGAATGTGTTACCATGGAAACGAGGCAGAAGAGGAGGTGGGAGGAGCTTAGAGAGTTAAGGTTTTTGAAAAGTGACAGTTAGAGTCAGTCAGGGTTTTAGGCTCAGGGAAGAGCAGGTCAGGATTGAGACTCTGAGAAGTGAAGAGTCAGGTTTCAGTGTTCGTGAATAGTAGAGATTTCTTCAGTTAGGAAGCTGAAGGGGAAAACCTTGTTAGTTGCTTTAGTTAGAAAGAACTAACAGAGGCTTGTTGGGATCGCTAGTCGGGAGAAGACTAGAGATCTGTCGTTTGATCGAGGATGGATCAAACGGGGGGACTGTTCACTGCAGGGAACACTGGTTGATGAGGTGCTTCACCACAGCAAGAGTTCATGGGTTGTAACATCGAGGGTCTGAGTTGTATCGCAACCAAGTTACATGTAACCTTCAATTGTTTGCCAGGCTTGACATCATCGTGCTGCAACCATGCGCTTTGTTTAAAAATGGACTTGTTCTCTTTGGTTTTTAAAAACTGCCTCATCTCCATTAATTCTACATTCGGTGTACCCAATCATACAAAATTACCTCACAACACAAATAAGGTGGCATCCAGTGGTATTAATACAAGAGCCTTTTACAAATCGGTGGCTCCTCTCTCCTAAACCTAAGCACTTCCTCGCAATTTGGTGGCGGCTCTTCGCAAATTAGCGGCTTCGTTACAAATTGGTGATAGTAGCTTTACACCCGTAATTAACTAGTGGCAAAGTTGGCTTAGAACTAGGCGGAAAATTCGCCCCCCCCCCCCTCCCTCCCGGTGTTTTGGACTTCCACTCCCACAATTCCTACAGCCTACCGGCTGTTAGGAATTGTGGGAGTTGAAGTCCAAAACCTGGAGGGAGGGCCGAAGTTGGCCCATGCCTATTTTAGGAGAAGGAGCCCTTTTGCACTTACAGGCCGCTTCGGGGTCCGCTCTGTCGGGGGAGACTTCCTGGTCCGCGTCTTCTTCTCCAAACAGTTGGCTGCCAATCCAAACACAGAAAGGTCAACAAAGGCAGAAATCTCTTTTCAGCAAACACGAAAGCAAAAGGATGCAATTGCCACTAATCTTGGGGAGAGGTACAAATAAAGATTATTACCATATATAATCAAGTCTAAGCTGACCCAAATATAAACTAATTTTACCACAAAAAAACGAAAAAACTTATTGACTCGAGTATAAGCCGAGGGTGAGAAATAATCATCAGTAGGTTACATGTTTTTGAGTATTTACATAAAACTGTAATTTAAGATAAGACTCTTATTCAACCATTATTCTAGTTTCCTTCAAAGTAAATGTGCTTACCAATTAGCAATAATAATAGCCAAATAATAAATGTAATAACATGTATTAAAAATAATAATAGAGTACAATAATGTGAATGTAATAATAATAATTAGAGTAAAATAATAAATGTAATAACATGTAATAAAATAATAGAGTAAATAATGTAAATGTAATAATAATAATAAAATAGTAAATGTAATAATAACAGTAGAGTAAATAATATAAATGTAATAATAAGAGTAAAATAATAAATGTAATAAAAATAATAAGAGTAAAATAATAAATGTAATAAAAAATAATAGAGTAAAATAATGTAAATGTAATAATAATGAGTAAAATAATAAATGTAATAACATGTAATAAAATAATAGAGTAAATAATGTAAATGTAATAAGAATAATAAAGTAGTAAATGTAATAATAACAGTAGAGTAAATAATATAAATGTAATAATAAGAGTAAAATAATAAATGTAATAAAAATAATAAGAGTAAAATAATAAATGTAATAAAAAATAAGAGTAAAATAATGTAAATGTAATAATAATGAGTAAAATAATAAATGTAATAACATGTAATAAAAATAATAATAGAGTAAATAATGGAAATGTAATAATAATAATAATAAAGTAATAAATGTAATAATAATAGATTAAAATAATAAATGTAATAAAAATAATAAGAGGAAAATAATGTAAATGTAATAATAATAATAATAATAAGTGGAGCAAAATAAGAAATGTAATAACATGTAATATAAATAATAATAGAGTAAATAATGGAAATTTAAAAATAATAATAAAGTGATAAATGTAATAACAATAAATATAAATTTAATAATAATAGAGTAAAGTAATAAATGTAATAAAAATAATAATAGAGTAAAATAATGTAAATGTAATAATAATAAGTAGAGTAAAATAATAAATGTAATAACATGTAATAAAAATAATAATAAAATAATGAAAACTTAATAATAATAATAAAGTAATAAATGTAATAATAATAATAGATTAAAATAATAAATGTAATAAAAATAATAAGAGTAAAATAATGTAAATGTAATAATAATAAGGGGAGAAAAATAATAAATGTAATAACATGTAATAAAAAGAATAGAGTAAATAATGGAAATTTAATAACAATAAATCAATAAAATAAATAATATAAATGTAATAATAATAGAGTAAAATAATGAATGTAATAACATGTAATAAAAAGAATAATAGAGTAAATATTGGAAATTTAATAATAATAATGCAATAAATGTAATAACAATAATACAGTAAAATAATAAATGTAATAATAATAATTAGAGTAAAATAATAAATTTAATAAAAGTAATAATAGAGTAAAATAATGAAAATGTAATAATAATAATAGAGTAAAATAAAAATAAAACTAATAACAGAGTAAAATAATAAATAACCCTGTCTCGAGTATAAGCCGAGGGGAACTTTTTCTGCCTAAAAAGGGGGCTGAAAAACTAGTCTTATACTTGAGTATATACATTATTATTATTATTATTATTATTGCTACTATTTCTAGAGTCGTGTCCCCGACTCCCTTTGAAACACACTCCATCCTGCGTACAATGCCTGCGATACAAAACCTGAATTTCTTTTTTCAAGAGCGACGTACTTGAACAAATATTTTGCCCACACGATGCAGTGAATAGGCTCAGAGGGAGTGTTGCGAATGGTGCAGCCTGGGAAGGTCTTTTGGGTTGGCTTGGGCTGGCATTCGTAGCACTCTGTCACTCCCTAGGAGGAGGAGGAGGAGGAGGAGGAGGAGGAGAAGACAAAAATTAGGATGTTTCCCTAATTCCCCTCTGCAAACCACATTGGATGAATCACACTGTGAGAGCCTATGAAAGCCAAGAGATACCTTCTTGATCACAGTGACTTGCCCCAAGTAGCCCGCCGTGCCGCTTTCTATCAGGGGAATGTCCGCCGCCAGGCACATCCTGTTCACATGGTTTCGGGCAGCTGTATATAATAGCAGAAAGACAGTTATTCACCATCTAAAAGGCAGTATTTAATTTCCTGCATGGACCTTTGCAATTTTCAGGTGCTATCATGTGGGGACATCCATCACAGATAGCAAACTGCCCATCATACTCCATTTAAAACAACTGGATATGAGAAAATGGGGATGTCAACACATCCTGAGAGACTTTAAAAGGTGCTAAGTGCCTTTGTGCCCCATGAAATTCAAGCATTACTATTATTATGGATGTCAATTTCACTTGTTTTGCAAAGAAAAGCCTCACCTCGGTTGTCCAAGGCATTCATGACGAGGGTAAACTGACGAAAAAATTCCACGTTATAGTCTGGGCTGCAAACAAAAAAGCAAACAGAGATCCATTTCAGGAGGTTCAACAAATGCCTATTGATATGACAAAGATATGTAACCTGGGATAGGGGGATACCTTTGCCAAACAGCACGCAATGTTGTTTTGCGGTTGAGTTTGTTATACAGGCAGCAAGAGTAAATTCATTATAAAAGGCCCTCCCATTTTTTAAGGGAACAAATGAAAACAATATAAAGTTTGGTCCAGATCTATCATTGTTTGAGTCCACAGTGCTCTCTGGATGTAGGTGAACTACAACTCCAAAACCAAAGGAGACTTCCCACCAAACCCTTCCAGTATTTTCTGCTGGTCAAGGGAGTTCCGTGTGCTAAGTTTGACTCAATTCCATTGTTGGTAGAGTTCAGAATTTGTGCTCTTTGATTGTATAAGTCCCAGAGCTACACCTCCCACAAGACAAAAATCAATACCCTCTTCCAATTCCACCAGTATTCAAATTGGGGCATATTGGGTATCTGTGCCAAATTTGGTCTAGTGAATGAAAATGCATCCTATATATCGGATATTTACATTACGATTCATAACAGCACCAAAATGGCAGTTATGAAGTAGGAACTAAACTAATTTTATGATTGGGGGTCACCACAGCATAAGGAAGTGTATTAAGGGGTCGTGGCATTAGGAAGGCTGAGAAGCACTGGTCTAGAGAATGGAGACTCTGGATGTCTCATTTAGGCCTAATAACTGCCCTGAGTCCCTTCGGGGAGAGAAATAAAGTTTTATTATTATTATTATTACTACTATATTTCAAATATAAGAGAATAAGAAAGACATACTTCATGACGCTGTCGTGATAAGCTGTGATCTTTGCTTTCGGATGAAACTGCAGCACACTTTCCTTGGCAACCTGAAAAGAGACCCAATATGGAGCCACAATATTCAAATTAATCCATTTGAGAACAAGCCAGGGGTATAACTTAGTAACATATGCAGTTTATGGATTTCCTTATCATTAAACGTATGTCAGCTTACAAAATAAATACAGTAAGAACAGAAACAAGCCACAGAACAAAGAATCCAGAGTTCAGTAAAATTAAACATAATAACATACAATATATTATATTGTTAGCATAGTACAATATCAGTATTATATATTACTATATTGTACTATACCATTATATTGTATAAATAAATTAATTGCATAAACTTCTTCCATGTTTTTATGATAGAATCAATGAGGAAATTGGGTTGTTGTAGGTTTTTCCAGGCTATATGAGTGCGGTATACAAATAAAGCAAAAATAATAATAATAATAATAATAATAATAATAATAAAATAAATAAAAATATATGGCCATGTTCTAGAGGCATTCTCTCCTGACATTTCGCCTGCATCTATGGCAAGCATCCTCAGAGGTAGTGAGGTCTGTAGGAAGTAGGAAAAATGGGTTTATATATCTGTGGAATGACCAGGATGAGACAAAGGACTTTTGTCTGCTGGGGCTAGGTGTGAATGTTTCAGCTGATCACCTTGATTAGCATTCAATGGCTTGGAAGTGCCTGGGGGGAATCTTCTGTGGAGAGTGATTTGATGTGCCTGATTGTTTACTCTCTGTTGTAATTTTTGAGTTTTTTAATACTGGTAGCCAGATTTTGTTTATTTTCATGGTTATTGGTATCTATTTTTATTTTGAAATTTACCAGTAGCTGCTGCATTTCCCATCCTTGGCTAATACTCAAGTCAATCCGTTTTCCTTGTTTTTTTGTGGTAAAATTAGGTGCCTCGGCTTATATTGAGGTTGGCTTATACTCGAGTATATACGGTATATTTTCTAAGTTATGGTATTTCTTTGATTACAAGATGCATATTAATTTCAGTACCAGTAACAGAAACTCTCGTTCTCTCTACATATTTAAAGCAAGCAGGATTCTAACATGCACCCCATTTTTAGAGATGTTAATATAGGAAAAGAGTGAAGAAATATAATGTAGGAAACAGAGAAATAAGCTTTGGAAGGGCTCCTACCTGAGCTTTTGACCTCCCGACGTGCTTCTTTTGAAACAAGAATTGCCTGTTGAGGTTGCTGACATCAATGGTGTCCAGGTCAATCTGGAAAGACATTAATTGCCTGTTTTAGGTTTGCAAAGGTTGAATCCCCAATAATTACCCATCCTTAATGCTACTATAGTTTGAATCCGCAGTGGTTTCTGAAGGCTGTTAGGATGCTATGGGATGTTTCAATAGCTGCAAAAAAAATCTCTGCATGTTTTGAGATTTTTACAGAAATATTTTGGAAATTGTTTGTCCCTTTGTGAAATGCAAAACAATGCATACCACTCTGGGCCCTGGGAAAAAAGATACAAATAATCAGTAAGAACAAACACCTCAATGAACAATGTTGCACCAATCACCAATTGTTTTACACCAAGTAGAAGCAAAAAGCAAGATTTTTATAACAACTTTTGCTGATACAAATACATAGTAACTGCCCGCAAAAAGCAAGAGTAAACTCAGTGCAAGCTTGCTGCTCAAAGACAAGGGTTACAAGGAAATCCTATGCAAGGCATTTTCATTTGGACGTCTCCCCTGAATGTAAACAATGGATGAAAACATAAATTCTATTATCTCCAAGAACAGTTAATTCCAAGTCCAATGTTATGTGTTGTCGAAGGCTTTCAACAGCCAGAATCACTGGGTTGCTGTGAGTTTTCAGGCTGTATATAACCATGTTCCAGCAGCATTCTCTCCTGATGTTTTGCCTGCTTCTGTGGCTAATGGCATCTTCAGAGATCTGTTGGAAATGAGGCCAGTGGAGTTTGTGCATGTGCATGTATGTATGTATGGATATGTGTGTGTGTGTGTGTATATATGTATGACAGAGAGAGAAATGTCCAGGGCAGGAGAAAGAACCATTATCCGTTTCAAGAAAGTGTAAATGTTGCAACTAGCAAGCTTGAATAGCATTGCGTAACCATGAAGTTTGCAAATTCAATCAGTGAGGGTGTTTGCATAGAGGTAACCTGATCTTTGTTGTCTGGAGGCATCCCCTGTTTGGGAGGTGCTAACTGGCACTTGGTTTAATGTATTGTCGAAGGCTTTCATGGCTGGAATCACTCGGTTGTTGTAGGTTTTTTCGGGCTATATGGCCATGGTTTAGAGGCATTCTCTCCTGACGTTTTGCCTGCATCCTCAGAGGTAGTGAGGTCTGTTGGAACTAGGAAAAAGGGTTTATATATCTGTGGAATGACCAGGGTGAGACAAAGGACTCTTGTCTGCTGGAGCTAGGTGTGAATGTTTCAACTGACCACCTTTATTAGCATATAATGGCCTGACAGTACCTGGAGCAAACTTTTGTTGACGTGATTAGATGTCCTTGTTTTTTTTCCCCTCTGTTGTTGTGCTGTTGCAATTTTAGAGTTTTTTAATACTGGTAGCCAGATTTTGTTCATTTTCATGATTTCCTCCTTTCTGTTGAAATTGTCCACCTGCTTCTTGTGGATTTCAATGGCTTCTCTGTGTAGTCTGACCTGGTGGTGGTGAGAGTGGTCCAGCATTTCTGGTTGTTTGTTGCCCTTTTCTGAGCAGTGTTCCTTATTTACTGCCTTGATTCTGGTGATTTTTCATACTTGTAGCCAGATTTTGTTCAATTTTATGGTTTCTTCCTTTCTGTTAAAATTGTCCACATGCTTCTTGTGGATTTCAACAGCTTCATGCAGCTATGGACAAGTCTCTAAGGGACCCCCAAACGCATAAGCATTGACCAGACATGACTAAAAAAACACCAAAGGCACTGCAGACTAATTCAACCAGAAACGCCAGTCATAGCAGAGCACTTGATGGACCAAACTGGACACAGAATATTATTTGAGAACACAGAAATGCTGGACCACTCTCACAACCATCATGTCAGACTACACAGAGAAGCCATGGAAATACACAAGAAGCATGTGGACAATTTCAACAGAAAGGAGGAAACCATGAAAATGAACACAATCTGGCTATCGGTTTTAAAAAAACACCAGAATCAAGACAGTAAATAAAGACCACTGAGAAACAGGGGAATTCCAGATAGCAAACAACCAAATGCCAGTTAACACAGAGGATGCCTCCAGGAAACAAAGGCCAGGCTACCTCTATGCAGCTCCATGGCCACTCAATGCTAATCAAGCTTGCTAATTGCAACACTCACACTTGCTTCCGACAAACTCTATCCTAGTCATATTTCACCTGTTCATGCGCAGCATTATTTTTAAATTTTAATTATTACATTTGGCCCAGCCATAGGTTTTTAAACGTCATTGTGTTACTGTTAATGTTTATTGCTTATTTTCTGTTATGAGTTTTATTTTTATTGTTTTGTATTACTTGTTGTTATTGTTTTTATTATTGATGTATTGTGGGCTCGGCCTCATGTAAGCCGCACCGAGTCCCTTGGGGAGATGGTAGCGGGATATAAATAAAGATTATTATTATTATTACTATTATTACTATATTATTATTATTATTATTATTATTATTATTATTATTATTATTATTAAGGGTTCTCTTTGCTTGAAACAGACAAGGATTTTTTCTCCTGCCCTGGACATTGTGTGCGTTTGTTTACACACAAACACAACTTGCTTCACTTCCAACAGAACCTCTGTTAGCCACAGATGCAGGAAGAACATCAGGATAAAATGTTGCTATAACATGACCATATAGCCCGAAAAACTCACAGCAACCTTCCAATGTAATGTTTTGGGAATTAATTGCAGCAATACATTTTTCTCCAAAATACTCCTGGTTTCTTAGCCTTTCTCATGCAATAGACAGCAGCCAACCTAACTGGTTTTATTTGCATAATAAAACAAAATCAGGCATGTTTCTGCATAGCAATCTGATCCAACTAGGGATTATGATCATAGAATCATAAGACTCCTAGAGTTGGAAGAGATCTCATGGGCCATCCAGTCCAACCCCATTCTCCCAAGAAGCAGGAAAATTGCATTCAAAGCACCCCTGACAGTTGGCCACCCAGCCTCTGTTTAAAAGCCTCCAAAGAAGGAGCTTCCACCACACTCTGGGGCAGAGAGTTCCACTGTTGAACTCACAGTCAGGAAGTTCTTCCTAATGTTCGGGTGGAATCTCCTTTCCTGGAGTTTGAAGCCATTGTGCCATTGCGTCCTATTCTCCAGGGCAGCAGAAAGGAATCCTGCTCCCTCCTCCCTAGGACTTCCCCTCACATATTTATACATGGCCCTCTTCATGTCTCCTCTCAGCCTTCTCTTCTTCAGGCTAAACAGGGCCGGCTCTTTAAGCTGCTCCTCATAGGGCTTGTTCTCCAGACCCTTGATCATAATGGATATACTAGTGTAGATAATGAATACAATGTTGTTGTTCATTTGTTCAGTCGTCTCCGACTCTTCGTGACCTCATGGACCAGCCCACTCCAGAGCTCCCTGTCGGCTGTCACCACCCCCAGCTCCCTCAAGGTCAGTCCAGTCACTTCAAGGATGCCATCCATCCACCTTGCCCTTGGTTGGCCCCTCTTCCTTTTGCCTTCCACTTTCCCCAGCATCATTCCCTTCTCCAGGCTTTCCTGTCTCCTCATGATGTGGCCAAAGTACTTCAACTTTGTCTCTAGTCTCCTTCCCTCCAATTAGCAGTTGGGCTTTATTTCCTGGAGGATGGACTGGTTGGATCTTCTTGCAGTCCAAGGCACTCTCAGCACTTTCCTCCAGCACCACAGCTCAAAAGCATCGATCTTCCTTCGCTCAGCCTTCCCTAAGGTCCAGCTCTCACATCCGTAGGTGACTACAGGGAATACCATGGCTTTGACTAGGCAATGGATCTTTGTTGCCAGTGAAATACAATAGTGATGCTATTAAATATAATAGCAATAATGGTGTAGATAATATAAAGGCCCAGCTCTTTAAGCCGCTCCTCATAGGGCTTGTTCTCCAGACCCTTTGGAGTTCTATGTGCCAAGTTTGGTTCAATTCCATTGTTGATGGAGTTCAGAATGCTCTCTGATTGTAGATGAACCATAAATCCCAGCAACTACAACTCCTAAATGACAAAATCATAATTTTTGATTGATGGTCACTCCTTGTGTTGTGAGATGTTTTGTTGCCAAATTTGGTGTGATTTCGTTCATTGGTTCTTTTGTTTTTAAGGTACTCATTATGCGCAGAGCATTTTTAGATAGATAGATAGATAGATAGATAGATAGATGAAGATGATGTAGATTAATACAATAGTAGATAATAGATTGACTATTCTAAAGCCTTTGACTGTGTGGATCATAATAAATTGTGGCAAGTTCTTGGTGGGATGGGCATACCAAGCCACCTTGTCTCTCTCCTGAGGAATCTGTACAAGGACCAAGTAGCAACAGTCAGAACTGACCACGGAACAACAGACTGGTTCAAGATTGGGAAAGGTGTACAGCAAGGCTGCATCCTCTCACCCAACCTTTTTAACTTGTATGCAGAACACATCATGCGAGGATGTGCAGGGCTGGATGAATGCAAAGCTGGGGTGAAAATTGCTGGAAGAAACATTAACAACCTCAGATATGCAGATGACACCACTCTGATGGCCGAAAGCGAGGAGGACCTGAGGAGCCTTCTAATCAAGGTGAAAGAAGAAAGCGCAAAAGCCGGGTTGCAGCTAAACATAAAAAAACCAAGATTATGGCAACAAGAATGATTGACAACTGGCAAATAGAGGGAGAAAATGTGGAGGCAGTGACAGACTTTGTATTTCTAGGTGCAAATATTACTGCAGATGCAGACTGCAGCCAGGAAATCAGAAGACGCTTACTTCTTGGGAGGAGAGCAATGTCCAGTCTCGATAAAATAGTAAAGAGTAGAGACATCAGACTGGCAACAAAGATCCGCATAGTCAAAGCCATGGTATTCCCTGTAGTAACCTACGGATGTGAAAGCCATGGTATTCCCTGTAGTCACCTACGGATGTGAGAGCTGGACCTTAGGGAAGGCTGAGCGAAGGAAGATCGATGCTTTTGAGCTGTGGTGTTGGAGGAAAGTTGCTGAGAGTGCCTTGGACTGCGAGAAGATCCAACCAGTCCATCCTCCAGGAAATAAAGCCCGACTGCTCACTGGAGGGAAGGATACTAGAGACAAAGTTGAAGTCCTTTGGCCACATCATGAGGAGACAGCAAAGCCTAGAGAAGACAATTATGCTGGGGAAAGTGGAAGGCAAAAGGAAGAGGGGCCGACCAAGGGCAAGATGGATGGATGGCATCCTTGAAGTGACTGGATTGACCTTGAAGGAGCTGGGGGTGGTGATGGCCAACAGGGAGCTCTGGCGTGGGCTGGTCCATGAGGTCACGAAGAGTCGGAGATGACTGAACGAATGAACAACAAGATAATAGATAAGAATAATGCTATTAAATATAACAACAAGAACAGTATAATAATACTACTAATGGTGTAGATGATAAACATAATAATAAAAATAATAATAATGGTGTAGATAATAAATATTTTAATGATTTTGAAATAATCATAAACATACTACTATGAATAATAACAACAAAGCCTGCCCTGCTCTGGGTGAGGAGTGTGCCAGGAGGCCCCGCCCCCGGAGCCACGTCACGCAGGCAAGCCCCGCCCCCGCGGCGATGACGTCACCGCCCCCTGTGGGAGAAATCGAGCGCAGGCTTGGAGGAGGCGGCTAGGCCTTGCTCACCACGTCGATGTGGTCGAAGCCCGACAGGACGAGGTCCTTGAGCAGCTCGCAGCCGATGCCCCCGGCGCCCACCACCAGCACCCGCGCGCCCGCCGCCACCGCCGCCGCCATCCCGCAGCCCCGTCCGCCCGTCCTCCTCTCCTTCCGGCGGGAAAAAGAAAGAGCGCTCGCCTCACAAGAGCCTTGCCGCCGCTCTGCGCATGCGCGGCCCTCTCCGGCGCAGGCGCGGAGCCCTTCCTCGCCGCCTCGGACTACTACACCAAGGCGGGTACAGCGCGCGCATGCGCACACACGCACTCCCCCCCCCCCGGGATGCTCTCTGGCGGCCCCTAGCGGGTTGGAAGCGGTAATGGCGCCATTGAGTTTTTCAGGCTGCCAGGCTAATAATATGTTCCAGCAGCAAAAAGTACATACATGCATATATATATATATATATATTTGCATAATAAAACCAAATCAGGTCTGTTTCTGCATTGCAATCTGATCTAACTGGGAATGATAGTGTGTTTAAAGAAGAACTGCAAGAAATATATATATATTTGGGGTTCTTTTACCCCGCCCTTCTCACCCCGAAGGGGACTCAGGGCGGCTTACAAAAGCAAAGGCACAATCTGATGCCTGCATCATAAAAACAATCAAATACAAAATTACATCAATACACAGTTAACAACAAATATACATTGTAACCATAAAATCAATAAAACCAAATACAAACCCAATTTCTCCTCTTACATGGTCAGCGTTCGCTACTCATAGATCTAGTTTTACGTTCCACTTCATCAATCCTCCTGGTCTTACTCGCCTGGTTGTCTGATTTAGTTGCCGGAGTGCCCAAAGGCCTGGTCCCATAACCACATCTTCACCCTCCTCCTGAAGGCGAGGAGGGATGATGATGCCCTGATTTCCCCCGGGAGTGAGTTCCACAGGTGAGGGGCCACCACTGAGAAAGCCCTGCTCCTCGTCCCCACCAGCCTCACTTGTGACAGTGGTGGGGTCGAGAGCAGGGCCTCCCCAGATGATCTCAGACTCCGAGGTGGGACGTAGAGGGAGATACGTTCGGACAGATACACTGGACCGGAACCGTATAGGGTTTCGTAGGTCAAAACCAGCACCTTGAATTGTGCTCGGAACTGAATCGGCAGCCAGTGGAGCTGGCATAGCAGGGGGGTGGTATGCTCCCTGTATGTCGCTCCGGTGAGCAATCTGGCTGCCGCTCGCTGGACTAGTTGAAGTTTCCGAACAGTCTTCAAGGGCAACCCCACGTAGAGCGCATACACACACACACACACACACACACACACATATACACACACACATACATACATATATATATATTTGTATATATATATTTGCATAATAAAACCAAATCAGCCCTGTTTCTGCATTGCAATGTGATCTAACTGGGAATAATAGTGTGTTTAAAGCAGAACTGCAAGAACTATATATATATTATATTAATACTCCACATATACTTGCAGTTC